GATCTTTTTTATTTTTTTTAATTCATAAAAGACTCTGGTTTTAAATAAAACATTACCCTGTAAATATCTAATTAGTGTATTCATAGTTCATTAGTGATTCATAGTTTCTTTTTTTTTATTTTTTTTAAAGATTTTGTTTATTTACTTGACAGAGACAGAGACAGCGAGAGCAGGAACACAAGCAGGGGGAGTGGGAGAAGGAGAAGCAGGCCTCCCGCTGAGCCGGGAGCCCGATGTGGGACTCGATCCCAGGACCCTGGGATCATGACCTGAGCCGAAGGCAGTCGCTTAACCAACTGAGCCACCCAGGCGCCCAGTGATTCATAGTTTCTTAATATTAGCAGAATTTTTGGCAGTATTCATTATATCTGAAACAAAAACACTGTCTTAAAGGTTAAATGAACAATTAATAATTTCAACAAACCAGTATGTACTTGAGAATATACAGTGGTAGGCATCTTATTTGGTGGATTTTAAAGAATACAAAGAAGGGCAAGACACATTCATATCCTCAAAGAATTAAGTATTAGCTGCATAACCAAGCAATTGTGGTACATAGTAGAGTGTCTGGCTATGAACTGGGTACTCACTATACAAGGTATGTTAAAAAGGATAATTCATGTGAAAATTTCTGGCTTGTGGTAGGCATTCTCTCCCTCATAGAACTCAGTGGCTATCCATTGAATTGATTTATGCACACTGAACAGCAGGTAGATTTGGAAAGTAGTAGATGATAAATACTACGTGAAAAATATAACAGAATGGCACTGGGAGAAAGAAAAAAGGGTGAGATTGCTGAGATTTATAATGGTCAGTGAAAGCTTCAAGGAGGAGGTGGAATTTGGGCTTGGAGGGCTGGGATTTGAAGTGGAATGGAGGGGGCTGTTTGAAGTGAGGAGTGAGGTCAAAGCCCATGTGAGTGACAGAATAATTCATAGTCTAGCCTACTGAAAGCAGACTGTTGATATTTAAGGCTAGGGCTAGATTGTGTGTGTGTGTGTGGGGGGGGGTGTCTTTGAAAGCTAGGCAGTAAGGAATTAAGGTTCTTATGGTATAATAGTGTTTTGAACACTCTAGCTGCCCAGAGAGATATAGTCAGGGTTCAGTTATGGTAGTAGTTCTAGTTGGGGGCAAAACAAGGTTGAAATTAATGTGATGCTACCAGGAGATGGATATAAGGTTTTGTGTGTAGAGTGGATAGAACTTGTGACTGGCAATGGGGGCAGAGAGATTGAGAAATAAGGAAGAGTTGACTGACAGTTCCAGTTTGGAAGGCTAAGGGAAAATGGAGTTATGAACTGAAATAGGAATGCTGGGAGAGAGAACCATTTTAAAGGGGGAAGTCATGAATTTGATCTTGTGTATTTGAGACTTCTGAAGTGATGGGATACTTTCATGGAAACATCTAGGAGCTTTTCTGGGCCATGGAACTAGGACTTCTCTCACTGAGGTCACTCATCATCTGTAGTAAGCCCCTATGCATATGGGCCCTCCAGCCTGCCTCTATTTAGTCACAAGTTCCTCTTGTTACATAGATTTTAAACAGGGAAGAAAAGTGACACAATCTGATTGGGCTACATGGACTAGAGAGGGCAAGGCTGGAGGCAGGGTGACTATTGAAGAGATGCAGCAGTACTGTGTGTGATAGAGAATAGTGGCTTGGATCAAGTGGTGGCAGTGGGGATAGAGAAATAAAGGCATGAGATTCATGAGACCTCTCTTCAACAGGTACACGGTAGAAAACATAAAACTTGGGGGTTGGTTAAATAGTGGGAGTATAACCACAGACAACTCCCACATTTCTGGACAGTTGGTTGGATGAAGAACTGGAGGAGAAGCAGGTCTGCCAGGAAGATGTTGGAAGATTAAGCTTTGGACAAATTGTGTTTGATGGCTACCAAATGGATTTGTTGAATAGCTGGTTTGTCGTAGAGTTTCAGAGCTCAAGAGAGATGCTTGGAATGGAGATGTAGTTCAGCACCACAAGGAAGATTTTGAAGCCTTGAGTGAAGGTGGTTCCCTCAGGGAGAAATGTGAAAGCATTCCACAGGAGGCCTGGAGAATGGCATTGTGAGGTTTGGCAAGCACAAGGTAGAAAATCGCTGGAAATGAGTTGGATCATGAAACCCAAGGGAAGTGAGTATTTCAAGGATCTGGTCAAAAATTTTAGAGAGGACCAAATAGGTAAGGACTCAAAAATGGGGCAACCTTTGTCCAAGCAGTTATATCAAGAATGATAAAAATAGGATTCAGGTTGCAATGGATTCCAGGATGAATGGGAGTGAAAAATGTGGGAGTATTTTTCTTTTTCCCATATCCTTCCTCCCCTCCACACCTTTTATTCTGGAGGATCAGGAACATGATTCATCACTTGAGAGTGACAGAAGTCAGTAAACACTGATCATCTGCTTAGCTGGTGCTTTGTCTAGGGAAAAGACACTGGCCCTTGCCACTAAAGAGCTTGAGAGGAGAGCAGGGAGGCAAAAAGGTAAAAAAAATTAAATTCTGAGTGCCATGGTGGAGGCCTGTATTCCATGTGAGTGAGACAGCAAAAGAGGGAGGGGGAAGCTCTCCCTGGGGGTGACTCAGGCTGAGCTTGGAAAAAGGAATGTGTGTTTTTGTTGACAAAATCGAGGGCATGCAAAGCCAAGAAATAGGGGATGGAAAATAGTGGAGGTGTGAAATAGCAAGGGCCCTGGGAAGAACTTCAAATGATTTGTTAAAGCCAAAGAGCAGGTTTGATTGGGACATCAGAAAAATTGCCAAGATTGCAACAGGCCTGTGTGCCCTTCAGAGCAGTTTGGCTTCTGTCCTTCAGGTTATAGTCAGCCATTGAAGGTCCAGGGCTTTGTCATGGTCAGCTGTATTTGTAGAGATGACTTTAGCACACCTTAGAGGGTAGTTTGGAAGAGAGTGGGGAGCACACCTGTAATGGTCATTGTACACCTTAGTGGCTTAAAGGGTGAGTTGCATCAAGGGGACACACTTAGTGCCTTATGGTCATGTATCCAATTTAAAGAATTTTTGTTATTTGTGTAATGTATGGAGAAAATCTTTCTGATGATTAGCCTCTAGAGAAGTTTCATAAGTATCCTTTTAGAAGATGACTTTACTGTAAGTGTTGGCTGTGTGTGATTTTGTCATAGAGTTGTGTGGACTAACTGAAAGACTGTGTCAAAGATATTCTTTATCCTTATATTATGTTTATACTTATGTTTATATTTACATTTATATATATGTTTATATTTTCTTTGAATAGATGATTGAACCTCAGATTAATGAGCTTTAACTTTGATGCCAATTTTCAGAAAAGTGAATCTGGATGTATATCTCCATCTGTGTCCAACCATTTGTGGGCAAGCATATATACATCACATGTGTGCAAGCATGTGTGTGTGTGTACATGCACATGTGTGTGTGGATGTGTGTTAAGGGGGACATGACCCTCTTGTCTGAGGCATATATAAGTTTTTCTTCTCCTTTTCTGGGTGTATTTGGTGATGTAAACTAGGATTAAAAACTGGTAAGAAGTGGCCAGTGTATAAATAAATTGGATGATTGTCATTTAGTTATGCTAAAATTTTATCTTCCAAATTCAGTTGGAATAATTTCATTAACAGTGCCTTAAGGAACAGGATATATGGTTGAATTTTCTTTTAGAAAATTGCCTAGTTATATCGGATCCAATTAAATTTTGCGTATGTTATCAGTGGCATTAAATGCAACCAAGTGTGGTGTTAAGTAAAATGAGAAAAATTATTTTAGTAAAAAGGAACTTGTACTTAATATATACTGAGCTAGTAAACATAGCAAATGTAGGTTTTAACAATAACATCATTTTTACTTAAAACATGAAATGATCACTTTATTTTTAATATTCTTAAATTTCCTCATTGAACTGCCTATAATATTTATTATTTATGTAATAAATTGGGAAGGTTTTTGTTTTTGTTTTTTTGTTTTTTTTAGAGAAAGAGTGAGTGAGCAGGAGGGGTGGGGCAGAGGGAGAGGGAGAGAAAGAATCTTAAGTGGGCTCCATGCAGAGCTACCCAGGTGCCCTGTGAAATTACTATTTTAAAATTTGTTAGTAAGTTCACAGTAGATAAGTTCAAGTTTTTCACTTTGGAAAATACCAGGAACTAGAAATGAGTATTTCTGTTCAAAGGTGAAAATTTTTTTTCTATAATCAATATTTTAAAAGTCATAAAATCATAAAATCAATAAACACTGCCCTCTTATCACTGGTAATTTTTTATTTAAAATCTATTTGAGGGGCACCTGGGTGGCTCAGTCAGTTAAGCTTCTGACTCTTGATTTCAGCTTAGGTCATGATCTCAGGGTCCTGGGATCTAGCCCTGTGCCAGGCTCTGTGCTCAGTGGGGTTCTCCCTCTCCCTCTGCCCCTCCCTCTGCTTATGCTCTTTCTCTCTCTCTAAAATAAATAAATAAATCTTAAAAAATATAAAATCTATTTGAAAAGTATAATGTTCTTAGAAAGGTTTGGTGGAAATATGAATATTGCTATAAGAATTTTGTGTTCTATCCTGCTTGTCAATAAAAACATTTTAAAAGGTTAAAAAAAAAGCACAACTACCTAGGTTTTCTTAAAAACAAAGGCCAAACTAACTAACAACAAAACATAAGACATACAACCAACAATAGCCCTGGATTTCTGGGGTGTTGTGAGTGTTGGAAAAGAGATTCTAGTCTCCCTGCTGTGTCTAGCTGCCTCCCATGTCCAAGTAGTTTACTGGCCTTGAGCCTTTGTTCCTTAATCTGTAAAATGTGATTGGGATGGAGAGCTTGGGCACTGAAATAGGTTGTTTACAGTTTATTTTTCTTCTGTCTAGTGTCCAAGCGATATGATTCTGCGATTGGTTTTCTAATCTCTGTTGGTTTCATTTAATTGGAATTGGCATTTTTTTTTTAACATGACATTATCTTAGGATACTAGCTGAGCAGTTATAAACCTAAAATTTTTATTTATGTTTAATATTTTAGGTATGCAATACCCCCGGAACATGGAAAACGACTTGAAAGACTAGCTCAAGGTAAACTTGCTTTCTGTGTTTCTCATCTGGATAGATTCTTTGTTTTTGAGGTATTTTTACAGTATGGAATGTCACTGTTACTTTTACTCTTTTCAAGTTAATGACTTTTGAATGTTTTTCTAATTGAACAATTAATTTTTTTTCATATTACCGTGTGAATTATTTTTCCATTTTATAATCTTCATGATTATTTTAGTTGGCTGCTTAGTATTTCATCAAGTGATTGCACTTAACCTGTTTTGATTATTTCCAACTTTTTCTCTTTTATATAACTTACATATATATATACATAGCTTTTATTTAACATTATTGTGCTAATAATATTTTTCTTTCTCTTAAGTTACACTCTTGAGATAAATTCCAAAGAGTACTGAGGCTGCATCTCAGGGTGCAGGTATTTTATGAATACTTTTATGTTGTCATATCATTTCACCAAAGGGTTGTATTAAATCTCCTTCTGACTCCTGGTTTGGCCCCCTGGGCTTGGGATTGCTATTATGGAAGTATTGAGGTGACTGTCCCCAGATAACCAGATAAGCATGAGAGTGTACTCCTTTTTAGACTGCAAATTTAAACATACCTTACTGGAACTTGAATTTTTATTTTTTGTGGCTTTGTCTATCTTCATAAGGGCCCGAATGAAGAACTCTATTAATGGTTTCATTCTGTACCCACTTGTATCTGCAGAAAATGCCTTCCTCTTTTCTTTTTTTTTTTTTTCTAAAGATTTTATTTATTTATTTGACAGAGAGAGAGAGTGAGCACAAGCAGGGGGACCGGCAGAGGGAGAGGGAGAAGCAGGCTCCCCACTGAGCAGGAAGCCCAATGCGTCGTGGGGCTTAATCCCAGGACCCTGGGATCATGACCTGAGCTGAAGGCAGACGCTTAACCAACTGAGCCTCCCAGGCGTCCCTCTTTTCTGTCTTTAAGACACAGAAGGAAACCTTGCCATATCTGTTTATACAAGGGAGGAGAATCTGATTTACCCCCTGCCAACTTCATCTGTTTTGCTAGCCACCCTTACCAAGGAAGAAGTAGCCTGGTCTGACTTATTTCTAGGGAAGGTGAAGTCGAATTTGAGTGTCAACTAGTGTAAGACATTCTGCTTTTATCCAGGATCAAATCCTCAGTGACCATTGTCCTTTTAGTCAGGTGCTGATCTGTTTTATTGGTGTGTTAGGTTTGTCTTTTAGTAGGAAAAGATTTTTGTTCCTGTCTTACATATGCTTTCATTTAATAATGAAATGGGGACACTGAAAAACCCCTTTCATTGACTTGACAGTTCTGAACAGAAATTGTTAATGATATCAGAGTATTAGAAGGAACAGTTACAGTATCACATTTGTCAGGAGCATTATTATAATTTTGGCAGGCTAATAACTATAAAGCCTTAGTGTTTTTATAATGTAATACATTGTAGTAATAATAGCAATGTAATTGTAATCCTAAACTTTGTTAGGGACTATTTTCATGAATATTAAGGTGGATGAACCCTGGTTCTGAAGAATAGATTAGAGTGCAGCTGAGAAAATGATTACCATAATCCTTAAATACACAGGCAGTGAACTTTGTGCTAAATCTGTATGCTGAACTATATTCTTCTCTATAATAAATATTCCACCATTTTCTATTTGCCTCACCACCAGAGACCTGGAACCAATGTAAACTTTACAGTATAGAGTCACACACTAAAGTTTCTGCTATAAATTGTCTGCAAAAGCTTTGACATAAACTGTCAGAAAATGACATTCTAGGAAAATGGGTGCCATTTGTTTAATCAATAAGAGGATAATAAACTTGAAGGATGTACAAGAACTTTGAATCAATTGCACGTTTATTCAAAACTGTTTTGCAGGATTATTTTGAGAAATGACACAGGGAAAAGACCCTAAGAGACAGTAGAGGATTCCCATCCTGACTGAGCAGATGCCAACCAAATTAATTAAATTCTGCTAAATAATTAAAATGATAAAATAATACAGTAAATGTGATGGAACATTTTTGGATGTCTAGGTCAAGGCAGCACTTGACACAGAAAATGAAAAGCAGCCTAGGATAGTTTCCATTATCTTGTCTGCACATCATAATTATTACACTTGCCTTTTATGCATGAATGCTTTCATCTTTGGTTTCTATTGAAATCTTGATTGACTGTGGCACCTACAAATATTTTATCTCAAAGACATTAAGTCTGCATCTAATAAAGCCAGAGTTTGATTTTGCCCTTCAGCTGCTTTTTCATTTATATAGGTTTTTTTTTCAATATTGTGTAGACCTAAGTGTAATAAAAATAAAACCTCAAGTGAATTGTTGCAATTTTTATACTTGTTATGTTTGCCTATAATGCCATTACATTCTTTCTAATTTTTGGTTTGATACAATTGAATGGAAAGTATAAGGGAGAATAGAGGTATAATATTAAATCATGAATGACAGTTTTGAACATTTTCACTTTTTAGAATGTCTAAATCTTATCTGTTTTAGAAATAAGACAATATCTTTGCTGTTCTATTGAGTTAAGCAAAGTATGGATTAAAGTAAATTGGGAATGACTGAAATTTTTTGCAAAGGACTGTATTCCATTAGTCTTTTATTGTGGATAAAATGCCAGCCAATATTAAAATAATTGAAAATGATTTACTGTGGTCAAAATTTTGGTTACTGGGAAAGAATATATGAGTTAGGGCTTTGTGCAGCTGAGTTCAGAAGTGTGAATGATCAGTACAAATCTTGTTTCAGATGGCAGTAAGGGAAGTAAATTCTTATACTTAGCAGGTATTTTAGTTGTGACTTATTTTAAAACAACATTCAGGAAGAAGGAACAGAAGAGTCATTATTATGAAGGATTAATTTAGTTTTTTTAAAAATAGTTTTGCGGTGTGTGTGTTTTAATGACTAGTAGTCTTGAGTTTAAACCTGTGGAACGAGAGCCTTAGCCTTATTTGCAGGGATCCCTGTTCCAGGAGGTGGACAAGTAAGTATCTGTGGGTGGGATGCAGGCAGTCTGTGGACTTTCTGAAATTATACTCAAAATTGGTCATATATATGTGTTTCTGGGAAGCCATCTTCAGATCCCTTCAGAGGGTTTGACCTAATTGAGATTGTGAACCTGCTGTCAAGAGACTAGAAGAGCAATAAATAACAAGTCATTTTAATTTTTTTTAAAAGATTTTATTTATTTATTAGAGAGAGAGAATGAGAGAGAGAGAGCATGAGAGGGGGGAGGATCAGAGGGAGAAGCAGACTCCCCGCTGAGCAGGGAGCCCGATGCGGGACTCGATCCCAGGACTCCAGGATCATGACCTGAGCCTAAGGCAGTTGCTTAACCAACTGAGCCACCCAGGCGCCCAAGTCATTTTAATTTTATGAACAGATTCTAAATTGACCCGTTCTCATACCTCTGTCTTGGAATTAGGAAAATACGCTTTTATCTGCTGTCTCCTCTCCAAATGATAAATACCTTATTCCCTTAAGCATTCATTTAGCTGATCATCTGAAAATATTATATTAAAATGCCTGGTTGTGAAAGGCTAATAAATAAAAATACCCCTGATTATAAATAATCAATTTTAAGGAGTCCCCTAAGCCATAAAAAATGAAGAAGTTCAGTAATATATTCTCTGCCTTTATGCCTAACTCATGCCTTAGGTGTGGAGAACAATGTGTGGTGTGTCAGGGTCTTTCTCTCAGCTGAGTTGTATTAAGAATGGTTCAACAGTCCCTAAGCTTACTTTTCTCATAATTTGATGTCAGATATCGCTGTGTTTAAATATATCTGAATATTTTATGTCTGGTTGTCTTCTAGGATTTTAGACGTTGGTCAATAATACATAGCATATACCAAGCTAATGTAATTCTAATGTGTGAAAGACAATTCTGAGAAGTGACAGCAGAGAATGGGAAGGAAGAATTCAGGAAGGGAATATTGGCTGGCAGGGAGGAATTACTATGGAGGGAAATTAAGAGTACTTTGATTTTTTGGGTGGAAGCTGAGCCAGGAAAATTCTGGATACCTTGACTATGACCTGTTTGAACCCAAAGTATTTGGCCTAGGGAGTCCTTGATCTATGCCTGTGTGGTCCATGTGTCATATCAAGGGGAGAGAAGTGGGATCTGAAACAAAGTGGTCTTAGGAATGCAATGAAAAACCATATGTAATGACCCATATACTTGTTAAATTAGGTGGAAATTTTAACTCTAAATGTTCTACCAGCCATCTTGAAATGGAAAAAAACTTGACCATTACACACTAACATAACATAAAAAATAAGTAAATAAACAAATAAATAAAAAACAAATCTGTAACATGTTTTTTTTTAAAAAAAGACCACAATCAGTGTGAATTTCTTTCTTTTCTTTTTTTTTTTTTAAAGATTTTATTTATTTATTTGACAGAGAGAGCGAGAGAGCACAAGTAGGGGGAACAGCAGAGGGAGAGGGAGAAGCAGGCTCCCCGCCAAGCAGGGAGCCTGATGCAGGGCTCGATCCCAGGATCCTGAGATCATGACCTGAGCCCAAGGCAGATGCTTAACCATCTGAGCCACCCAGGCGCCCCTCAGTGTGAATTTCTGGTGCTCCTCTGGAGTGCTCCATGGAGCTCTGTCTCTCCTAGTACTGATGTTGATGGATCATGGGACACTTAGAGCAGAGTGAAGCCTGTTTTGATAGATTATGGGAACTTAGAGCTGAGTGAAGCTTGTGATAATTTTCTACCCCTTCCTGAGAAACTAATTGCACCATGAATGGAAGGATGTACAGAGGGTCAACTATAACTTAAACCTCTACAGTTGATGTCTTAAGTAGGGATGTGGATAAAAATAACCAGGTTTCTCCCCACATACTGTAGCTCATTGGTTCTTTTCATTAAGTTTCTTAAGAAATTTCATGTGTAAATTCAATGTATCTATCTAAAAGCATTTCCCACAGAAGCAATCCTTCCACATCCTTTTTCTTGTTCTTTTCTTACCATTTGTTTGAATGGTTGCTATATATTGTCAAGC